CTACTCGGCTCAAGCTGTATATATAATGGCGCGTGATCAGATGACAAAAAAGGTAAATGGGTCACCATAGCCTCCTGCCATTTTAACCGTGAATGAGCACAACATGAGTCCCTGTCCAGTCTTTTAGCAACATAGTTGCACTCTAACCTCCCTCTCTTCCAGGTAAACTTACTTCCTCGAAAGCCCATATCAATCAACAATGCATCATGCACCCATTTTCTAAATGATAGCGAGTCCGCTGAGAGCCGGCCATTTCCTCATGTTATCTCATCCAGCCTCACAATGATATTAAAGTCACCCATCCACAATCAACGGCCCGTCCACCTGTTGTATGGTTTGCCTCAGTTGATTCCGTAGTCCACTTCTCCGACTCACTATGGGGGCTGCATATACCACAATCAGGTGAACATACTCTACCACAATGGTGATATCCCCCTCTTCCGACCTCAATAGGAGCCACAACCCTCCACTCTACCCTATTGCATCCACACGAAAAGATTTATCAAAGCCCAAGCCTTGACAAATGTGACCAATTCTATCCCCTCCAGCATCCGTTTCGAACATAGCCATAACATATATCTTGTATTTCATCAGCAATTAACGAATCGATCTTTTAAAGTTGGGTTTATTCCCCCCCCCCCCCTCGACAATTTTATAATATACAATTCATCTGATAATCCCAAAAGCATATCCAAAGAACAGCTGGGAATCCCGCTATTCGACACGCAATCCGACTTCCTCCTCTGAGGGGGACATATGCATACTCTCATCTCCTTGTACATCATATACCACCAGATCAAAGGACGGAGACTCATCCACATCCTCTCGAGTTTGTCTCTCCCTTTTATCCTCTCGAATCTCATCCACCTCCATCGCAAAAGCCCCTTCGGGTCGTCTTGTGTTTGCTTTTTCCACCCTTAGCCTTTTTTCCAGATTCCGACAACTCTCTCTCCCCCTCTCGTGGGTCCAAAAACCAGCCCTCTCATGGGCCTGTTTTGAATTATTTGGAGGTTAATGGATTTGTAACATTGGGCTTCTTTTTACCATCACGCTTCTCTCTCGGCCTGCTCTGAAATTTTATCCCCTCTTTTTCCATCCTAACATCCAAAGATTTCTCCTTACCGTGACCAGTACTCTCCCCTATGTGCTGGATATTTCCCAAAATCTCAGTTTCCTTATTCTCCTCCCATATATCTTCCACTTACCGCTCTTCTGATTCAATCGCATCTATTTCCAAATTGATTTAAAATCTGGATATTGTATTTTCCTCCAATCTCGGGGTTTCCCTTAGATTTCTTGTTGAGTCTTTTCCCGAGTTACCCGATTTTCCTAACCCACTTGTTTCTTGACTTGGTGTCTACGCCATCCTCCGCTGTGGTCGTCGTACCTCCATGAATCCATCATCACCATGATGTGATTCATCAAACGCACACCCTCTTTTGTGTTCCCGGAGCCGCCTCTTCCACTGAACTCATTTTTGGACATACATGAACCATATGCCCATACATACCACAATGTGAACAAACTTTCGTCAGAGCTTCAAAAGAAATGAAGTATCTCTCTTCATTGATTAAAGCAGTACCCTTCAGAGGTTTTGCAAGATTCACTTCCATGCATACCCGAGCGAATCTGGCACGTGTCAGCATTAAAAGTGAAAAACATATTTTGTGATATTATTTGGATTTTGGATTTTTAAATAATCAGATTTATTAACCATTTAGAAATGTAAGTTGAAAATATTTACTTTCCTGAAATGTTAATTTACCAAAATGATTAGAATTAGATTTTTTCGGAAGGTCGAGAATTTCAATAAATCTTGTGCATATATTGTTAGGTTAAAAAGTGAACAAGTTCTTTGAGCTACTATTGTTCAGATTATTAATCACTGAAAATGTTAGCTATACTTAAAATGTTGACAATTGTATGATAGGTTTGATATTTTAAAAGCGAATGAATCAAAATGCCTTCATGTATATCGTGAAAGAAACATAATTCTAATATTTACTTTTTAGGAGTGATATTTTAAGAATCTAATCATTGGAATTACTTTTTTCATAAAATAGAGAATTCCGATAAAACTTGTTCACGTGTCATTATTAGGTCAAATGTGAAAAAGAAAAGTGCTTTGTGATATTATTGTTCAGATTGAATTTTGATTTCTTAATCATTAAATTTATTAATCGTCAAAAACTAAAAGTTTTGACAATTGTATTATAAATGTTTTGATTTCGATTACTCTTAATTCCTCCAAACATCTCGTGAAAGAAACGTATCTTTTATATTTTGTAAATAATTGTTTGCGAATCTAATCATTAGAATTGTTTTTTTCGTAAGACTGAGAATTCCAATAAAGCTTGTCCATGTAGTGTTGTTAGAAATGATAGTTTAAGAATCTAATCATTGAAATTAGTTTTTACTTAAAGTAGAGAATTCCGATAAAACTTGTTCACGTGTCATTATTAGGTTAAATGTGAAAAGTGCTTTGTCATATTATTTTTCAGATCGAAATTTGATTTCTTAATCATTATTTATTAATCGTTGAAAACTAAAAGTTTGGACAATTGTATTATAAATGTTTTGATCTCGATTATTCTGAATTCCTCCAAACATCTCGTGAAAGAAACATATCTTTTATATTTTGTAAATGATTGTTTGCGAATCTAATCATTAGAATTTTTTTTTCGCAAGACTGAGAATTCCAATAAAGCTTATCCATGTATTGTTGTTAGAAATAATATTTTAAGAATCTAATCATTGAAATTAATTTTTTCTTAAAGTAGAGAATTCCGATAAAACTTGTTCACGTGTCATTATTAGGTTAAATGTGAAAAAGTGCTTTGTGATATTATTTTTCAGATCTAAATTCGATTTCTTAATCATTATTTATTAATCGTTGAAAACTAAAAGTTTGGACAATTGTATTATAAATGTTTTGATCTCGATTATTCTGAATTCCTCCAAACATTTCGTGAAAGAAACCTATCTTTTATATTTTGTAAATGATTGTTTGCGAATCTAATCATTATAACTTCTTTTTTAAGATTAAGAATTCTGATAAAACTTGTCTACGTATTATTGTTTAGATTAAAAAGTGAATAAAAAAAACTTTCTGATATTATTATTCGTATCCATTTTTTGGATTTCTAAATAATCAAATTTATTATTAATAAATAACAGTTTTTCTTCAAATATTGATAATTGTTTAATAGATGATTTTATGTCTAGGAAGTGAATGAATTTAAACTTCTTGATATATTTTGGTAAGAAACTGATATTTACTTTTCAAAATGAAAATTGTTAATTTAGTTATTAAAATTATTTTTTTTGTAATGTTAAAATTTTTGATAAAATCTGTGGATATGCAATTGTTAGATTAAAAAAATGAAAAATGTGCTTTGGAATATTTTTTTCGGATTGGATTTTTGGACTTATGAATAACTAAATTTATAAATCAATGGAATATATTAGCTATATTGAAAATGCTGAATGATAATGAGTTGATCTCTACAAAACGAATGAATCTAAACTACTCAATATATACAGTGAAAGAAATGTGGTTCTAAAATTTAATTTAGAAAATGATATTTTCGAATCCACTCGTGAAAATTAGATTTTTTCGAAAAGTTGAGAATACTAATAAAGCTTGCCCACATGTCATTATTAGCTTAATAGATGGAAAACCACCTTTAAGAAACTGAAATTGTGAGCAAAAACCAAAGAAAAGAGTGTGAAAAACGCATGCCATTGTTTTTAAAGAAAAAACGGTAGCTGAGTGTTATTCCATTTGTAAACTTTCATTAAAATACGAGATTTGTTTTTGTTCTTTAATACAACAAACGAGAGGTTCGAGGTAAAAAAAAAAAAAGTTGCTGTTTAGGCAAATTAATAATAATTGGTCTTAAAAGGAAGACAAGCGTGAATAAGTAAAGAGTACTGTTGCCGTAGCATTAAAGCGGCAACGCGCCGCCTCATACGATGGCCTCGTAACGGTAAAACCAACACTCGACGCGTGTCACTTCTCCTAGCGCGTGTGATACATTCCCTTTGAGCGAGAGTGTGGGTGTGGAAAAAGAATTTGCCAATGAAATTAATAAAGCAAAGGATCAAAAATTAAATAAAACGAAAAAACAAAAATCGAAAGCTGGGAAAGTAAATGGGAAACGACGACTGACTCGTCTTCTTCCTCCTCCTCCTTCCTTCTTATTCCCCCCTCTCGTTCCCTCTTCTCAATCTCAGGTTTCTCAATTTTTTTCAACCTTTGTATTAGATTTCAAATCAGAGCTTAAACGTTTGAGGTTTGAGATATGATGAGCTTAGGGTTCGTAATATCTCAAATCGAATGTTAGTCACTATCTTCTTCTCTTCGATCCTTTTACTCATCGGGCGAGTTTCATGTGTTCCTGTGTAAACCAACTGTTGTATTGGGGTTAGAAAGCTCTAGGTAAACCCTAATTTCTTCCTCTACTTTACTCGAATCATCGGATCTGTGTTTACTTTTGTGTTCTCACCTTTTTCTTCTTCCTCTTTTCTGGGTTTTAAATTCAGTGCCACTAGCTGTTTCAATATTTAGCAATGAAAGTTTTTTCGGTGGAGTCATGATCTGTGAGCATCAAATTTGGCGTATTTAATTCTAAAATGGCTATGGTTTCTGCTTAATTTATAAATTCGAATCTTATGGTAAAGAGTTAACATAGTTGTTGTGCTTGATTTCTTCGTTTCACTAGCTCTTTTGCTTCAGTTTAGTGCTTGCATGGTGTAGAGCTTTTTGAAATACATGTCAAGGTCTTTGCTTCACTTAATTATACACTAGTTTCGTAAATGTATCAAGACATTAGCTTTTTTTTCAGTTTCAAGAGAAGAAAAAAATGCTATTTATAGATAGGTCTTTGCTTTTGGTATATGTTTTAAAGTGATTGCTTTTGTGTGTCATCATCTTTGTGTCATTGCAGTTTTAAGTCAGAGAATCGTAATTTACCTAAACAAGAGAGTGGGAAAGAAAGATGCTGGAGGGAGCAAAGTTCAACGTGATGGCTGTTGGGAATCACAACAACGACAACAACAACAACTACTATGCTTTCACGCAAGAGTTCTACCAAAAGCTCAACGAAGGCTCAAACATGTCGATGGAGAGCATGCAGACGAGTAACGCCGGAGGATCCGTGTCAATGTCTGTGGACAACAGCAGCGTCGGTTCCAGCGACGCTCTTATCGGCCATCCTGGCTTGAAGCCGTTGCGCCACGGCGGCTACTCTCTCTCCGTCGGGCAAAGCGTGTTTCGTCCCGGGAAAGTCACTCACGCGTTGAACGACGACGCCTTGGCTCAAGCGCTGATGGACAGCAGGTATCCAACCGAAGGGCTTGCGAACTATGAAGAGTGGACGATTGATCTGAGGGATCTCTACATGGGACCTGCTTTTGCTCAAGGAGCTTTTGGTAAACTGTACAAAGGGATTTACAACGGGGAGGACGTAGCGATCAAGATACTTGAGAGGCCAGAGAACAGCGTGGAGAAGGCGCAGTTCATGGAGCAGCAGTTTCAGCAAGAGGTGACTATGCTTGCGAACCTGAAGCATCCTAACATCGTGAGGTTCATTGGCGCTTGTCGCAAGCCGATGGTTTGGTGTATTGTGACTGAGTACGCTAAAGGAGGCTCAGTGAGGCAGTTTCTGACAAAGAGACAGAACAGAGCCGTGCCTTTGAAGCTTGCTGTGAAACAGGCGCTGGATGTCGCTAGGGGTATGGCTTATGTCCATGGACGCAACTTCATTCACAGGGATCTCAAGTCGGATAACCTTCTCATCTCGGCTGATAAGTCGATCAAGATTGCTGATTTCGGTGTAGCGAGAATCGAAGTTCAAACCGAAGGGATGACTCCAGAGACCGGAACTTACAGATGGATGGCTCCGTAAGTTTTCGAGAAAAAAAAACTTTTTCTTGATTCTTGATTCTTGATTCTTCTTACCTTTTTTTATGGATGCAGAGAGATGATACAGCATAGAGCATACAATCAGAAAGTGGATGTGTACAGTTTCGGGATCGTGCTGTGGGAGCTGATCACAGGGCTGTTACCGTTCCAGAACATGACGGCGGTACAGGCGGCGTTTGCGGTTGTGAACCGAGGAGTGCGTCCGACCATCCCGAGCGATTGTCTCCCTGTGCTGAGTGAGATCATGACTCGTTGCTGGGATGGTAACCCTGAAGTGCGTCCATGTTTTCTGGAGGTTGTGAGTCTGCTTGAAGCTGCGGAGGTAGAGATAATGACGACAGCTAGAAAAGCCCGTTTCAGGTGTTGCATTAGTCAGCCTATGACGATTGACTAAATGCAAGAAGCAGCATCGCAAGGAAAAAAAAATAACTAAGAGAGGAAAGAAGGAAGAAGAAAAGTATTATAAGAAGAAAAGGGCTTTTTAGAGTTTTAAGTTTATGTGTGTCCCCGTCCGTGTGTGTGTTTGTGTATCTATTATATAAACCCCCCCTCAAAAAAAAAAAACTATGTATTTTGTTTTCTCAAGATAGGAGAAGTAAGTAAGCACCCCCACCACCACCACCATTGTAGACTTGTTGGTTTTCTAGTTTTTTTTTTATTGTCTGTGTTAATTAAGAAGAAAAGAAAAACAAGAATTTGAAGTAACAAACGTTTGTCTATTAGAACTTGGTTTCACAGACTAGTCGGGGATGACAAGTGAAAACGATTGATGTAAACGAACTGTCAAAAGTGGGATTTACTGTGACATCGGTAAACGTAAAATAAGAGTTGTTTCAGTTACTTCGACTCGTTTCCTATTGTATGATACGATTCCATCAAAGCTGTACAACGACGTCGTTACGATACGATGATGGTTTTCTTTTGTACTACTATTTACCCATAAAGTTTCTGTTGGTTAAACTTTCTACCTGTGGTGATGGTGTCTGTGACGTTACTCCAGAAAGTTATCACATGTGCATCCAAACCTGGAAAGTTGTAAGACTTTTAGTTGTGTCTGAAACGGAGTAATATGGTTCGAGAATTCGAGAAAGAGAAGTATCGAAACGGACCTTGATTGGTCTTGAATAGAACATTGTGTTGCTCATAGCTATTGCTTTGTTAACCGACTCCTTTGTAGCAAAAGTCACAATAGCAGCACTGTAGAAGGAAATGATTTCGATTACAATAAAGAAGATTTCTTGCGTATAAAACTCTTGCAACGAACAAGAGATTAAGGAGAGAAGATTTTTACCCCTTTGGATGTCCAGTTACTGGATCTGTTACAACTGTAACGTTTTCGACAGTTCCACACTTGCTGAAGAGCATTGATATAGCTTCTTTCTTTGCCGCATAGTGTACCTGAGAGGTTCAAGGAGTTCTAGATTCTGACCTCATTTAGGAAAACAAGTTTAAGAAAATAGATAATGTCACAAAGAAAGGATAAATAGGGGACCCCTGTTGGATTACGTTAGTAACATGTACGATTTTTGATTCCGTGACATCTTCTTGATGCTGCAATTCTCCTGCGTAGAAAAATTTTAATCAAACGAAACGAGGCAGGACAGTCAAAAAAGTAAAGCGGTAATGAATAATCAGCTGTTCTAAAACGTGAGAGTTTTTTTTTAAAATACCAGATTGTGGTGAGCGTTTGAGTTCTCCAACTTTCTGTTTCTTCAACTGCTTTGCTTGATTAATTTGGTTTTCTAACTGTTGCATCTTTTGTTTCATGTTCAGTATTTCCTGATGAAAAAGAAAGAACACAATTATCTAGAGTCACACGAATGACAGCAACAAAGCAATAAACTAATAACGTACAGTGAAAAGATGTTGCTTTGCTGACTGATAGGAGGAGAGCAGGCTTGGCTTTTCAACATCCTGTTTAGCTTTCTTATGCTGAGGAACACTGCTAAACTCACCAGCTGAAGCCTCTATTGAATAAGGGTTGATGCTGCCATAACGCCTCTTTCTGCCGAGGTTATGCGTGATATGAGGTTCAGTGTATGTAATAAGTCCACCCTCGGGTTTCCTAGCTTTTTGGTATTGTTGCCTGTAACTGTCTGCAGGAACTTCTTCTCTTTGAAATGTCTCGCTGCGTTGTCCATACTGCTGAAACACTTTGTTTTCATCTTCCTGAATTCTAAACTTAGGCCGTGTAGGGGTTTCTTTGTCACCTGGTCGGCCCAAACGATCCCAAACACTAACATGAGGCTTCATTTCTCGTTCTGGAAAGTATAAGCGTCTCTGTAGGCTTCTTCCTCTCCTTGCATCCATAGACTGCTTTGCATATGTACAGGGGTCAAATTTGCATAAACAACTGAGAAAAAACAACAACTCTGAACCAGCAAAATTAACCTTCCAACCTTTTCGTATCTATCAGGATTCACACCACATGGTTGCTTAGTGGCTGAAACAACGACGGAGCGCAGTACTTTTCTAGAGTAATTAACACCAGAATCATCTTTCTCTTTCGGAACTTGCGACCTTTTACAAGGGCTATTAATGAGCTCTTGTCGCAACATCCTCATGTTACTAACTTCTGGTCGAGTCTCAGCGTCTTCTCGAGCAGTAGTACCTGATGTCAGCTTTTCCTGCAAATTCCACTCACAATGAGACTATGCACTGGTGCAGCATTCACAGAAAATGAAAGAAACAGATGTCTTAGTCTTACGTTCATCAAGTAAGTAGCATTGGTAGCTTTATGGTCATAGTCATTATCCCTTCTGGAGCCTAAACCTTGTTCGATTAGAGTATCATGAGAACCACAATCAACTTCATTCTTAGGCAGAGGTTCAGAACCAGGATTTTCCTGCTTACCTTGAGAGAAGTCCTTCGAAAGAAGCTCCCATAAGCTGAAAAGGAAACAAACACAGATTTAAAATCGCATGTTACTCACTAATACCTTTTCAAGCTTAACAAAAAGGGGATTTCAGATAGCAAACCAGGCAACGAATTTCCCAGATTGCTCCCCGAGAAAGGCCTCCAAATAGTATCTCGCCTGGCTCTGACTCTTCCCGTTACAAACAATCACCGTAATATACTCCTGAAACAAGCTGATTCATCATCAGTAAAACTACGAAATCACCAGTTCTTCTTCATACAAAATCAGGCATCATCATCATCATCAACCTGCAATCTCTGATTTACAATGCAACAAGATGAAACGATTCCAAACAAAGCAATTGCGTATACATACAGTTTTCCGAAATCCATATACGACACTATCATCGATGAAATTTTCAATCGAGTAACCAAAACAGTACGGGGGAAATAAGAATGCCAAATCCGCTGGGCGGAATTCACATAAACGAGAGAGACGACGAAATTAAAACTGTAGGTTACTTCTGGGAGCAGTGAAGAGTGCGTACAATAGCACAAGTACACCAACGGAACTCGAATAATAAAAAAACCCTAGGAATCCTCTAGACGAAGATAAACGAAGAGGAAGAAGAAAGAATAAACGAACAGAAAGGGTGCCGTCGTCGGCGTAATCGTCAGTGAAGATAGGAAGCATATCGGAGATAATAGCTCTCAGTCGAGAAGCGGACTCCGATTCTCTCGGCATAGGAAATGTGCTTGTGAGTGAATCTACAACTCCTTCAGGCATCTTCGCAACTCTCGCCGCCTGCGGATTCTCGGATTATCGTTCGTCGCCGGTGAAATTGTGAAGCAGAATCGTCGGAGACAGAGCGAGCCCAAGCTTCTGAGAGAGATTTATAATAAGAGAATGAGAGGAACTGTTCACCACAATACTGTTATTAGCTGCGCACAGGCCAATTTCCCTCCCTTTGCACATTAATTAATTTTGGAGTATTGATATAATTAGGTATAGACTATAAAACATTAATTAATTTTGAGTAGTGAATTAATTAATTAAGATGGTTTTTTAACTTTTTACCCATTTATTTTGTAGTCATAAAAACATCTCACTCCAAATGTATTTTATCATCCATCGATTGGTTGAAACAGAATATTCAATTAAGTTAAAGACGGTGAAGAAAAAAGAAAAGAAAAAGGAAATATCTAATTTACCAATTAAGGATATTTTCCTAAAAGGATTAGGAAATTGTCAAGGTCGAGTAGAAGAATATATGTCTATATAAATAGATATGTAGCTCAAGTTTTTGGCTTTCGAATATAGAATAGCAATTAGGAATTTTAGTTTGTCGATATCGTGTTGATATGAGAGGTTAATTGATTTTTGTCGCAATTCAAGATTATATGTTTGAAGTTGCATAAACTTCGATTAAATTTGTAAGTTATACCTAAAAGATTTTCTAATAATTTGTTTTGAAGAATCCTTTGTGCCAAGTTCTTTCTGCTTAAGTTCTTGCGTTTTCACACCGCTTAGGTTTTCATATCATTCGTTTAATCCAGGAGCATTAGGGTTACAAAACCGTAGTCATCGCAATAAACAATAATTCAGGGAAAAAATATTATTGTTGTTACTAAACGTTATTTTATAAATATTGAAAGTGCGTTTGGAAAAGGAAATCTCGTGCGCGTTTCGATATTTTCTTTACACAAGAAATCAATAATCACGGGCTCCTTCTCTATACTCTCTAGGCTTGCTTAGTAAGCGAGCTCTATTGATCAGCGAATCAACAACATGTCTCTGATTCAAAATCGTTCACTAGGACCACAATCTAAAAAGCGAAAGATCGAACAAGATTCAAATTACTCTTCTAGAAAGTGTGGCCACTTCCTCGTACGTCACGGAATCTGTTGCAACTGCAGATCCACGGTGGAGAGACACCAAGGCATAGCATTCGACTATCTTGTCGATGGGTTACAGTTAAGCCACGAAGCCGTTGTGGTTACTAAGCGACTCACAACACACGTCACTTGTCTCAACGAGAAGAAGCTTCACTTGGTACTTGACTTGGACCACACGCTTCTCCACAGGTTATGGTTTCGATGCTTTCCCATGAAGAAAAATACCTAATCGGAGAAGTTGACTCAAGAGATGATCTATGGAGGTATAACGACCGCTACTCGAGCGAGTTTTTAATAAAGCTAAGACCTTTTCTTCACGAGTTTCTCAAAGAAGTTAACGAGATGTTCTCCATGTATGTTTACACTATGGGCGATCGTGATTACGCCAATTCCGTTTTAAAGCTGATTGATCCTGAGAAAGTATATTTTGGAGAACGAGTCATAACCAGAGAAGATAGTCCTTATGAAAAGACGCTTGATCTTGTGTTGGTTGATGAGTGTGGAGTTGTGATTGTTGATGATACTCCACAAGTCTGGCCTGATCATAAGAGAAACTTGCTACAGATCACCAAGTACAATTATTTCAGAGACAGGACGAGAGGCGATGTGGAGTACTCCAAATCGTATGCGGAGGAGAAGAGAGACGAGAGTCGAAATGGTGGATCGTTGGCGAATGTTTTGAAAGTTCTCAAGGAAGTTCATGAAGGATTCTTTAAAGATGGAGTTACGAAAGAGTTAAACAGTGATTCAAAGGATGTGAGGCTGTTGCTGCATGATCTCTGCACACGCCAATGTTTCTAGCTAATTCAATTGATTTTGATCTGGCTTTACTTTTGTAGTTTCTGTGAGACAATTAACATTCTGTAATATTTCGTTAAATTCACCTGCATTTTTTGCTTTATGTTTTACTTGTTTATCAAATTCACCTGAATTTTAACATAAACCAATAATAATTTCACTTAGATAGACAAATGTGCTATAATGTTTAGGTTATGTTCCATTTTCTCTACAAAAATTTTAGGTTATGTTCCATTTCTCTACTAAATTTTATAAGTTCTTCATTTTTCCATTTCTCTACTAAAAAAATTAAGGGTTACCAAGCTATTTCCCCTCATCATATCTACACAAACTTTAGATTTTGTTCCATTTCTCTACCAAATAAAAGCTACAAATCTATCATACAAAATGAAAGTTGGTTAAACTAAACCATTTAACGGTCATTCAATCAAATTTTATTTTCATTTTAATTTAAATTCTCTCTTAACGGGTACCAATTTGTTGCTCGAACCCTGGTTGCAACTCTATTTTCATGCTAAGTCACTACCATTTTGCCGTGGTTCGAATTGGTTGTGGGATTTAGCTCCCACATATATGATTTTAATAAATGTTTAGAAAAAAAAAGACACATATTTACCATATTCTCACACATATTTACCATATAGAATATGACACATATTTACCATATAGAATAGTTACATATATACATTACATATTTAGATCTATTTTATAAATATATTTTCAACCGATCCGAAATATTAATTTATAAAAATTATTAATTTATTGATTATTAAATTTATAGAGTTTTTATTGTATATAGAATAGAAAATTATTTCAACTTGATATGAAATAGAACAAACTTATAGAATTATATTTCATGAAAACAGAATGAATTTATAGATATGTATTTAAAACGAATATAGAATAGAACATGCCGAGAAAATAAAAACATATCCCATGATAATGGCAGAATCACTTAACACAAAATATGGAATAATTTTGGGTAAAGAAAAAAAACCCTTCCGATCAATTCATTCGATGGCCTCGCCACTAAACCAACTTTTGTTGATTACAATTCGCCTTCCGATCGATTCTTTCTCCGTTCCTCATCTCCAGCGTCTCTCTCATTCCACCAATCTCGTCCGACACCACCTCATATTCACAAGGTAACATTTCTCATCTCTTCATGAAATTTTCATAGTTTTTTTTTATCTCTCATGAGCTATACCTTGATCAATTCATCCGATTGCTTCGCCACTAAATCAACTTTTGTCGATTACAATTCGCCTTCCAATTGATTCTTTCTCTGTTCCTTAGCTCCAGCGTCTTTCTCATTCCACCGATCTCGTCGGACACCACCTCAGATTCACAAGGTAACATTTATCATCTCTTCATGAATTTTTCTTAGTTTTTCATCTTTCATGAACTATACCTTGATTATTAGCTCGATTAACATATTTTATAATGTATGAAACTTATGTTCCAAAACAGAGGATAAGAGATTTTACTGCAAAAAAATTTCGAACTTAATTTTATAGAATAGAATATGTAATACGACTCTTAATATGATAAGTCAAGACTCTTAGTTACTAAACTCAATTATCAACTAACATATGCTAGTTCCAGACTTTATGAACCTTGGGAAATAGTTTTTGGTGCTTATTTTGCAAGATTTACAACAAATTGGGATTTGAATTATTGAATTTGTAATAACTGCCGATAAAATTTTAGTCATGTGAGCGATGAAGATTTTGATTTTTTTGTTTAGTTTTATAGCTAAAAAAGGGTTCTGTGATGCATTTTCGTTTCCTATTCAGTTCATGGATCTTATTGCAGTTTGGTTTTAGTACGAGCTTGCTTGTTTGGATTCATAGTCTCGTTTTGTCATTTGTTTGGTGATTGATTCTTGTTTATTGTGAATGATTTATGTGAAGTTCTCAAGTTATACATAAAACATGGTTTAGTGATTGGAATATAATTTTACAAAGCATAATGTATGTCTTTTATTTACTCACTTCTCTTTGAACAAAATTTATAGTTTTCGATTTGCTGAGGCTTTTTAATAACAAAACAAAATATAACAATAATTTCTCAGATACGACTAGTATTCCCCAAAACCTATGTTTGGAATAATTTGATGATGATGATGAAACACAGCTTAATTCCTCTGGCTCTTGCACATTAGTTCGTCCTTGATAATTATATGCAACAGATCATCTTTAAACTCATTATAAGTTATACTAACCTAAGGTAAAACACGTGTACGTAATACTATTACTTCATAAGAGCAAAACTGTTGTTAGTGAATGTTAAGTCCCGTTAATTTATTCTTTGTTGTCTTACTTATGGAATATCCTTTTAACACTGTTGTTAGCGAATGGTACTGATCATTTTTGGAACTTGTTCTCAGGTAGTAATGTTATCTGCTGGTATGAGTTGGCTTTTTGTATCTCGTGAGTGTGATCTAATGGTTATCGTAGTACACATCAAAGGTTCTAATGTATATCGAATGTTTCATGTTCTGGTTTTGTTATGACAATGGCATGTACACTTTTAAAATTCATAGAAATGAATTGCCTTTTTCTCTTATTTTTGGGGCTTCTATGTTTAAATCTCTTGATAACTGTTTCTTAAACGTATGTGTACAAATATAGGAACTATTAGTCTTGTACTTGAAAGGTTCTATTATGTGAGACTTGTGTAAAGTTTTCGTGGTGAAATGCAGCAAAGTCGTTCATGTTGTATTCAGTTCTTTTTTTGTTCTTTTGTTCTTTTATTTCGTCTTTGGTTCCATGAAACTGCAAATGTTTCTTTTCTTTTGTTTTGTGTTTGGTCTTCTTTTCAATTCCATTTCAAGCTTTTTCTGTGTTCTTGAGCAGAAACACTAAAGGAACAAGAGAGGGTTCAACTGAACAACAGATCTTCCTCACTAATGGAATGTATGGCTCTTATTAAGAGCATCTCCAATGCAATCTTCAAATATTGATCCCAACCTTTAGAACTTCAAATTTTGAACTTCAGCATATTTTTTTTCATTTTGAGTTGTTGTTTGAGCTTTCACTATTCAAAACAACAGCTATCTGATTCTTACATAAATATTTACACAAATCATAATACTATATTTCTTCTTAGTATAAAGTATATTGTGAAATTTGATTTTGATGCAGGAACCACTAGTGAGCAGAAGAAAAATGCTGACACAACTATGTGTGTGAACAAATTTATCTCTTGCAAAGCAGATCCAAGAGTGTCAAGACTTGTGGAAGCTACTTGTTTCAAGATATTTTTAAAGATTGAAGAAACTTATCATAAGAAAAATCTGCCACTTCTTATAGCGTTGCTGTCCTTCTTTGATTTAAACAACAAGACTTTTTGCTTTCAGACAGAGAATGGGATTTTCATTGTTGATTTTGGCCTCCAAGATGTTCTATATATTACAGGAATTCCAATTGATGGGGAACATGTATTTCTTTTTAATTTTACTTTGTTACCAGATTTGTCATCAGTTATCCCTTGATTAAATGCTTACTTGATACAAGTATCGGGACCCGAGAGCAGTAACACTGTAGGTACAATAACAAATTATTTGAAAGTAAATGATGAAGCGGCTAAATGATTGTTTGTTAAGAGTACAAACAGTGAATCCTACAGCATTTGTCATGGATATTTGCAAACCCTTTTTTAAAGCCTTACTTTATGGCTTATCTTTTGTTCCTGTTGGGAATGGTCGTTATCCCGAACAAGACCAAAGGTATTTCTCCCATATTTCTACCATTCCTACAAAAAGACAAGGTCAACAAGTATGCTTGGGGGCAGCACAGTTAGCTTTTCTAAAAGACTCATTATACACATGGAAGAATGCTTTTATTGGTAGTAAAACCACAACTCTATGCGGTTTTTCTTATGCTCTGCAGGTAAAATCTTCAAATGAAACAAAAAATAACTAGTTTGATTATGTGTATAATGTTAATTGACGATTACTGTTTTTTTTCATATATGTTTTCATCCAAACTATCTAGGTTTCCTTTAATGTTGGAGTGGGCATATGTATATAAACTATATACAAAAATTTGTTGCGCAATGACTGTGGGACAATATCAAGAAATACTTACACATATGAAGAAAGATGAGGTAATACTTATTTTTTTGTTTGTTATAACTCGAGGATGGAATACAACATACGTAAGCCTAACAATAACTCATCTCTTTGTCATTATGCATATTTCTTCTATATTAAATATTTGATTATATTTTCTCAGATTAATTGGCAGCCTTATAGCAAAGCTGAATTGCCTGAGGAATACACATCTCAATCTCATATGGTTTTTGGACATGTTCCATGCATCTGCTTTAACACTGTCGCAAATAATTGTCATGGTACATTCTTCAAGCAATTAGGACTGGAGAAGTTAGACATTTTTCTTGGAGACAAAGTGCTTGGATCGGTGTCAAAGAAGAGGGAAAAGCCGTGTAAAATAAGCAGACATAAAGACAAGAACTGGAGAGAACATAATAAGTACTACACTCGGGTAAATTTGCAGTGGACAAACCAAGATCAATATTTGGTGTATCAACCGTACAATGAGGAATCCGAGGTGGTTTCTGGTGCGAGAAGATGGAGTGCACAATGAGTAATTAGGACTGGTGCACCTAGCATTTCTTGATATAGTCCCACACTCATTGTGCAACAAGTTTTTGTATATGGTTTATATACACTTGCCCACTCCAATAAGATGGAATGCACCATCTTCTCGCACCAGAAACCACCTCGGATTTCTCATTGTGCGGTTGATAAACCAAATATTGATCTCGGTTTGTCCACTGCAAATTCACCTGAGTGTAGTACTTATTACGGTCTCTCCAGTTCTTGTCTTTGTGTCTGCTTATTTTACACGGCTTTCCCTTCTTCTTTGACACCGATCCAAGCACTTTGTCTCCAAGCAATATGTCTGACTTCTCCAGTCCTAATTGCTTGATGGATGCACCATAAAAATTATTTGTGGCGGTGTTAAAGCAGATCCATGGAACATGTGCAAAAACCATACGAGATTGAGATGCATATTCCTCAGGCAATTCAACTTTGCTATAAGGTTGCCAATTAATCTGAGAAAATATAATCAAATATTTAATGTAGAACAAATATGCATAATGACAAAGAGATGAGTTATTGTTAGGCTTATGTATGTTGTATTCCATCCTAGAGTTAGACCAAACAAAAAAATAAGTATTAGCTCATCTTCTTTCATGTTTGTAAGCATTTCTTGATATTGTCCCACACTCATTGCACAACAAGTTTTTGTATTATAATTTATATACATTTGCCCACTCCAACATTATAGGAAATGTAGATGGTTTGGATGTTAGAGATGCTTCGGTTGGAAAGACAGGAAAACGCTCCAATGCAAATACCTAAATGAAAAAAATAAAGAACAGTAATTGTCAGTTAACATTATACACATAATCAAAGTAATTAGTTTTTGTTTCATTTTAAGACTTTACCTGCAGAGCGTAAGAAAAACCGCATAGAGCTGTGGTTTTACTACCAATAAAATCATTCTTCCATGTGTATAATGAGTCTTTTAGGAAAGCCAACAGTGCTGCCCCCCAAACATACTTGTTGACCTCGTCTTTTTGTAGGAGTGGCAGAAACATGGGAGAAATACCTTTGGTCTTGTTCGGGATAACGACCGTTCCCAACAGGAACAGGAGATAAGCCATAAAGTAAGGCTCTAAATCCTATTCTTCAGTGTCCTTTGGCACATTTTCAAAGAGGGTTTGCAAGTATCCAGGAAAAATGCTGTAGGATTCACTGCTTGTACTCTTACCAAACAATCCTTCAACCGCTTCTTCACTTATTTTCAAATAATTTGTTATTGTACCTACAACGTCACTGCTCTCGGGTCCCGATACCTGTACCAAATAAGCATATAATCAAGGGATAACTGATGACAAATCTGGTAACGAAGTAAAATAAAAAAGAAATACCTGTTCGCCATCAATTGGAAGTCCTGTTATATATAGAACATCTTGGAGGCCAAAATCAACAATGGAAATCCCATTCTCTATCTGAAAGCAAAAAGCCTTGTGGTTTAAATCAATGAAGGCAGCGCCATAAGAAGTGGCAGATTTTGCTTATGATAAGCTGCTTCAATCTTTAAAAAATTCTTGAAACAAGTAGCTTCCACAAGTCTTGACACTCTTAGATCTACTTTCCAAGAGTTAAATTTGTCCAGACACATAGCTGTGTCAGAATTTTTCTTCTGCTCACCGGTGGTTCCTAAAATCAAATTTCACAATATACTTTATACTAAGAAGAAATATAGTATTATGATTTGTGTAAATATTTATGTAAGAATCAGATAGCTATTGTTTTGAATAGTGAAAGCTCAAACAACAACTCAAAATGACGAACGACAAATATGCTGAGGTTCAAAATTTGAAGTTCTGAAGGTTAGGATCAATATTTGAAGATTGCATTGGAGATGCTCTTAATTAGAGCCATAACTTCTATTAGTGAGGTAAATCCGTTGTTCAATTGAACCCTCTCTTGTTCAATTAGTGTTTCTGCTCAAGAACACATAAAAAGCTTGAAATCGAATCGAAAAGAAGACCAAACACAAAACAAAAGAAGAGAAACATTTGCAGTTTTATGGAACCAAAGACAAAACAAAATAACAAAAGAACAAAATAACAAAAAAAGAACTGAATACAACATGAACTACTTTGCTACATTTCACCATGAAAACTCTGCACAAGTCTCACATAATAAAACCGTTCAAGTACAAGACTAATAGTTTCTATATATGTACACATGCGTTTAAAAAACAATTTTATCAAGAGCTTTAAACATAGAAGCCCCAAAAATAAGAGAAAAGGCAACTCATTACTATGAGTTTTAAAGGTGTACATGCCATTGTCATAACAAAACCAGAACATGAAACACTCCATATACATTAGAACCTTTGATGTGTACTACTATAACCATTAGATCACACCCACGAGATACACAAAACCAACCCATACCAGCAGATAACATTACTACCTGAGAACAAGTTCCAAAAATGATCTGTACGATTCGCTAACAACAATGTTAAGAGGATATTCTATAAGTAAGACAACAAAGAATAAATTAACGAGACTTAACATCAACTAACACTAATTTTGCTCTAATGAAGTAATAGTATTACGTACACGTGTTTTACCTTAGGTTAGTATAACTTATAATGAGTTTAAAGATGATCTGTTGCATATAATTATCAAGGAAGAACTAATGTGCAAAAGCCAGAGGAATTAAGCTGTGTTTCATCATCATCATCAAATTATTCCAAACATAGGTTTTGGGGAATACTAGTCGTATCTGAGAAATCATTGTTATATTCTGTTTTGTTTTTAAAAAGCCTCAGCAAATCGGAAACTATAAATCTTGTTCACAGAGAAGAACGAGTAAATAAAAGACATACATTATGCTTTGTAAAATTAGATTCCAATCACCAAACCATGGTTTATGTATAACATGAGAACTTCACACAAATCATTCACAATAAGAGACAAGAATCAATCAGCAAACAAATGACAAAACAAGACTATGAATCCAAACAAGCAAGCTCGTACTAAAACCAAACAGCAATAAGATCCATGCACTGAATAGGAAACGGAAATGCATCACAGAACCCTTTTTTTGGCTATAAAAGTAAAAAAAAAAAAAAACAAAATCTTCATCCTTAAACCAGAAAGAAAAATGATTTATCGCTCATATGACTAAAATTTTATCGGCAGTTATTATTAATCAATGCATCGTTCATGAGAGATAAAAAAACTAAGAAAATTTCATGAAGAGATGAGAAATGTTACCTTGTGAATCTGAGGTGGTGTCAGACGAGATCGATGGAATGAGAGAGACAGAGACGCCAGAGCTGAGGAACAGAGAAAGAATCGATCGGAAGGTGAATTGTTTAGCGGCGAGGCAATCAGATATATTGATCAAGGTATAACTCATGAGAGATAAAAAACTATGAAAATTTCATGCAGAGATGATAAATGTATAGGAACCTTAATTACTACAACAGAGCAACTAATAAATATAAAGACATATTGAAGAACAGATATCGAAAATACAATACCGAATTAAAAACGGTGATAAAGAATTGCAAAGTTGAGACGAATCTCTTTCCTTAAATCTTTAAACGCCCCGTACTGTGACGGTTTTGCAGCGCTCAGATTCCTAGAATACAACTGCAGTGTTTCTGTTTTCCAACACCGAAGAACATAACCTAATTAATCCAATTATGTGTGTACTCTTTAGAGAAAAACAGAAGAATAAAAACTTTTTGAGGGATTTGCTTTTGTTATTTTGTTGTATTCGATTGTATATTTTTCTTTATGCCAACATGCCTTTATATAATAAAGGAATTGCACATATCTTCACTTTACTTTGAAATCTCAACGTATACAAGTGAAGTAATGGAGAAATAAAAACATATCGAAGTCTTAATGGCATTTGGTTTGTTTTTTTTTTCTTTTTCATTTTGTGTTTTAAACAAAACCAACAAAAGAAATTAACATGAACCTAAAGCCCAATTTATAAATCCAAACCCAAATCCAAAAAAATCAAATGTGGAACTTGTAACATTTTTAACACTTAGTAAGTTAAAGTTTAAAAGTTGTTTCTTGTTTACCAAGTTATCCACTTTGAGACTCCATTTTTTCCAATTTTTACTTGTGATTGCATTACTTTATAAGCTTACGGTTACGATGATATTGTATCCAACATATTCCGACGAACATATTCGACGGAAACTCACCAATAATAGTCTAAAACTATTTCGTCAAAAATGAGTTCCAAGAATCCCCACATGAATAGAAATGATTCTAGACAGATGACGACTCGACAAACTTGACTTCCTAGATAATGCTCGATAGAAAGACTTTTTGAGAGTACAACAAAAAATCCACTGCATATGAGTTGGTAGCATTTTTCAGCCTTGAACCAATGATTCATAATAGCTATCAAATTTACTCGACAAAGAGGTGGATATGATATCTTGAACCACCCGTGCATTGATGTAAACCGAAACAATAACTACAACACAGCTTCATTTTCTCACAGAACGAGGTTCTATATTATGTTCATTTTAGCCTTGAACATGTCTGGTAATCATGAGTGAACTTGAAGAATATAGCGTTTCCTTCATTCTCCTAGAAACGATCGCATTTCACACTCACAAGGTGATTTGACATTAGCTTTGTTTAAAAGAGCATCCTGTAACACTCCATGTATATCTCAAAGCTATGTACTCAAATCATTAAAAGTAAATACTTATCCTCTACACATACATGTCGCACTGGTAATCATCCTAGGAACTGGGCAGAGACATAAGTCTATCAATGCTCTTATTAGATTCCACTTGAATTTGTTGTCCTTTTGAACCCAAATCTTGGGATCTCCAGTCACATAGGTAGGATTACCATCAATCATCCTCAATTCATAGGCTTTAAACCCATTCCGTTTGATGATTTACAATTAGACCTCATGATACACCTTTAAAAATTGGATCCTAGATTGTCATCTGATCGAACATAATCTAATGAGATGACTACATTTGAGATTAATTGTCTAAATGCCTTATGTCTTCTTTTTTAAAAGACATGACTAACCATTATACACAAAACTCACTGACGAGCTTTAATCAATTGAATCATAGTGTACATATATGTTTTTTCCAGCAATTTTAGAAACCCTTAGCTTCATTTGCTTTATCTTAAGCTATGAACTTAGGTTTTATAATTAATTTGTCACATAATTAATTTGCTAGAATTCAATGTTGGTGAAAATTTTTGCGAGACACCCCCACATTTTTAGGTATATGTACGAATGTACGGTACCTTTCCAAAGATCATATGATACCATGCCAATGATTTTATGTGGTAAGCAATACATCCCTCCACATTTTCTGAGGGCACTTGAAAACATGCAACAATGCATTGATTATCTCCTTTAGAGCTCAGATTTTTTTTTAATTCTGCAACTGCCTTTGATGCAAGTCAATAAAGAGCGGTTATGTGATGGATTATACCAAGTTCTTTACAAAATACATTGTATAGTCCATCGTATTCTCCTTCTCTATCACTTCAAACTATTTTTATAGTTTATTTGTGATTCTTTGCCTGTACACAGACTTCACTATTATCTTTTACTTAATTTGCATTTGAAAATTAGGTTCAAATAAATCAATATTTGTATAGATTTATAATTCACATCTCCTAATTGTTCATGGAAAATATTGAAAAAACTCAACCAAATAAGCTACTAAATAATTCTTATTGATTGAAAGAAAACACAAATGGGTTACAATATTTTAGGGATGGACTGCCATTACACACATTTTGACCAGTCCTTCCTTAACATAACATTTTTACCAAGTACACCCTACTTTTCTTGAGAACAAGCTTGTCTGACTTGAAAGTTACAGCAAATCCAGCGGCACTGAGGAGCGTCCCAGAAATCAAATTGTTTCGCATATCTGGCACATGCTTGACATTCTTGAGAGTGATCTCATGCCCTGAGGTCATCTTGAGCTTCACTTCTCTATAACCTTCAATCTTGGACGTGCCGATGTTACCCATTAACAGCCACTCCCCACTCTTGCATATTTGATAAGTGCTAAATATGCTTTTATTATTGCATATGTGAGTGATGGTACCTGTGTCATACCACCATTCCCTTGGGTTGTCCTCAACTGTGTTGACTTCTATGACCACATCACACATATCATTTTCAGTCAAATTGGGTTGAGACTTCCCTTTGTTTTTGCTTGGACCAGCCTTGCTACGACAAACGTCAGCTTTATGACCCTCTTTACTACAATTGTGGCAGCTACCAAAGAACTTTTTAGGTTCTGTTTGCTTCTTAAAGCTTGTGGTGGCTTTATGATAAAAATTTCCTTTCCCCTTTTTCTTATGCTCAACCAAGTTCACATCATTCTTAGGAATGAGAACAGCATTGCCTCGTGGTTTCGGGATTCTACCCGCAGCTTGACAATCAAGTCCTCGAGGGAAATTGCCTTACGCTTATGCGTGAGATAGTTCTTGAAGTCAACCCAACCTGGTGGGAGCTTCTCAATGAAGGAGTTGACTATGAAAATTTCACAAATCGACATCCCCTCAGCCGCTATCTCATGCATAATCAATTGCAAGGCTTCCACTTGTTCCTTGATGGATTTTGAATCCACCATTATAAAGTTTAGAAATTTTGCCATAGCATATTTCTGACAGCCAACATCCTCGGACTTATATTTTTCCCCAACGCAACCCAAAGTTGCTTGGAGGTTTTCACCGCAGAGTACACCTTGTACAATGGGTCTATCAAGCGGCTTAGAATCCAGCCTTTGCACAGAAAGTCTGAATGGTTCCACGAATCCACACTGGCCAAAACTATTGGATCCGTGTTACTCGGTGGGAGGACAGAAGCATCCTCTTTCAGATGCCTGTCTAGGTTAAAATTGGTCAAAAAGAAATGCGTCTTTTGTTGCCAAGTTTCGAATCCATTCCCACCAAACTTATCCGACACCAGTCCTACGTTTGCAGCATCATGCACTGATGGGTTAGTATATGGCAGACCACTCAACTCATTTTCATGAGTACCACCACCAATGATTCCAGCATCGATCAGTGCATCTTTGTTTTGACCATCGACCAAAATGTGGGTGTCATTAGTCATATTAAAATTCAAATCTATTCACACAGTAAACAAAATAAATTAATATTTTAATCAACATCAAATACAAAAGTTCAATAATGCAATTTAATCAATTATAAAAGAAACAAAATTATAGTTGATTAATTAAATCAATAATTCACAGAATTTAAACAAATTCAGAAATTATTATTTAATTTAATGCAATGACAAAAAAACGCATGCAAATTAAACCAAATGAGTAATTGCATCAACAATTCAAACTGGTATTTTACTAAATGACAAACGCAAAAATATTGCTTATAGTAATGCCATAAATTAATCAGTTCTAAAAGTCAAGGGAATAAAGACAGATATGTTTAACCGTTGCTTAATTTTGAATAAACTAAAAATTCAAAAATTTAACAAATCATTTAAATTGAATGTAAACACATCTATAAAGCAATTCATAAACTCATAAAAATTGCAATATAATATTCCAGCGTGAAACAAGATTCTCGAAAACACTGATTAAGCACCAGATTTAAGCTAATGAATGAATTATGCAATTGTTGATCGAGCAAAGCAATTCAAACCAAGTGAGATAAACTTTAACCAGGGTAGACCATTTCAAACCAAAATCAAGCTTTTTGTCACTCATCTCTCTTTCCCGTCGTCAGATCACGCTCCCCTATATATCCAGCTGAATCCAGAGGCACGAGGGAACCCAAGAAGACGACCATTTAGGTTTGGAGCGGCTTGGCGAAAGCACCCTGGTTTCAAAGAACTCCTTTCGACATCGTGGAACGGGGAAGTGTCTACTTTGAAGTGTCTACTTCAACGGCTTTGCAAAAGTTGAGAGATAAGTTAAGGAAGTGGAATAAGAAAGTTTTTGGGGATGTTTATCAGAAGAATAAAAAACTGATGGTGGAGATTAAAGGGGTACAAGATTTGTTAGCAGTAAACCAAACGGATGATCTCTTGTTGAAGGAGGAACTGCTGAAAGAGTTTGACACTGTCCTGAAAGAGGAGGAAGTACTCTGGTTCCAGAAATAAAGGGAGAAGGCTATCACGTTAGGGGATAGGAATATGAAATATTTTCATACGTTGACAGTGGTACGAAGACACAAAGATAGGATCGAATCACTGAAAAATGATGAGGGAAGATGTGAGACTCAAGGGCTAGAGAGGTTGGCGATCGACTACTTTGCCAGACTATATTTCCTGGATGATGTGGACCTCATTGTGCCTGCATTACCTAGAGAAGGGTTTGTATACCTCACATCTGACGAGCTTAGGGAGTTGAATAAGTTGTTCTCGACGGA